AAAAATCTCAGCAGAAAAAGATAAAATCATGGATGATAATCATGTAAAATATGCTAAACGTCCTTAGGTAAAATATGTAAAATGGGTTTTCGGACTGAACCTTGAAATGCTAATACTTCTTGACTCTCTAGCGACTTTCTCTTAGGTACCACATGGGTTCCTTCCCTTTAGAATGAATGTAAATTCAATGTGGATAGAGCGGTTAGAAGTAAACTTCGATCTACAGGATGAAGAGCACTTGAGGATTTTTTTAACTCTGTCATTGGATTATTCTTCGACACCCTTAGGATTCAAGACTCTAATAATTATGTGAAACTGATGGCTATTAGGCATGCACTCCAACTATTTGCATCCTCGTCTTGTGTTGGTACAAATTAAGAGATTGATTATTGAATCTAATTCTAAGGTGGCAATTTCATCAACAAGCTTGGCTTTTGGAATTATTGATATCTTTTTAATGAAGTTGATCACAACTTTTGTAAAGTGATCGGAGACATTGTCTTTGTGTAAACCTATCGGAAAGTCAATGCTTTTGTGGGTTAAATTTGGGGTGGATAGAGCTACGATGTTTTTTGCATCATAGTAAAATGAGGTGATCTTGGGTGAGGTTTTGCACTTTCCTCTCTTTAGGAAATTGTTACAATTTATCCTTGACGTTTACTTGTTAGTTTACATCTGATCTTCTTAAAAGGAATTATGATTATGTATCAATTTTTATATTTAATAAATTTTATTTGAAAGAGCAAAAAAAATGCTAAAACTCACAAATAACATGAGATAATTCAACCTTATAGCTAAAATGCATGGCACATAACCATAAATGTATGAACAGACGCATAAGAATCATAAAAGAGTAAAATAACCGAATTGAGTATCAAGGATATCAAAAACACGATGAGAATGAAGTTAAAAATGAAACAAATGTGTGTCTTCATGTAAGGAACAGCACAATATTCACTCAGTTTTACTAGTTTAGATGTTAACCAAATTTAAATTAGCACACCACTTAAAGCAATATTAGAGTCATCAGTCTGGTTTTTTGTTTGTTGTTATCAGATTACACTAGGCTTGGCCAAGCATTTGTTCTATCCCAATTGGTTTATGATTAGGAAGACTTGTCAACTAAGATTGATGGGATCAGAATGTAAAGAGTCAGCACTATGTAAGTCTAAATCTTGGCTAGGCTTTTGAGGCGATTCTTCAATATTTGCTTCATTCCTTCACTTCAGCTAAGATAGTGCCCCCAGGAGAGCCAGCGGGAGGGAAAGGGGCCCAACACACGTCAGGTTCGCTCTTCACCGCTGACTTAATAACAGTATCCACAAAATTAAGAGCTGCCACAAACGAGAGAAGAAGAAACTAACTAACAATTTTTCCTAGCTTCCGATTGATTATTTTGCTGCTCACGATGATATTACAGGTACTACAAACTTCCCCAATTCCTTCCCTTTTTTATTCCCTCAATCCAAGTAAAATGTCCCTAAGAGGCCAATTTAGCAGAGCATCACGCATGTGAACGTTATGGTCCACAATCATCTTCGACCATAACTTGAATTATAAGCTGTCCATAACTTTGAATAATTAAGATAGTTTTCGAATTGGACGATCATCCTGATAAAATGCGAGGTGTAGGAAAGAAGGGAGCATAGCAGCTTTCATCTATGACCCATGCATATGGTTGCTACTTAGAAATGTCCATACTGGTGTTTTAAAGTTATCGTGTAGGGGGTGCTTGGGGCTTAGATGCACGTCCTTTTCACGTGGAAGAGTTGTAACAAGATATACGGGGGTTTATATATAAATATATATGGTTCATTATCTCTCTTTACAAGTTTTCTCTCATTATTAATTTCTTCATTTTTCTTTTCAGACTCTTTAATTAGTATTTCCTTTTATTTATTTTGAGTCAACTAATTCCTAGCAGTAGAGTGAATGGGTAGAATTCCATTTTTTGGGTTTGAACAGTTATCTACCCAATCAATCTGCATAGATAGAAAGTGACATGTCATAATTATGGAGGCGGAAGCACTATAAACCATAGAAATCGTCCTCGAGTGGATGGCTGGATGTCTGCCTTGTATATTGGGAAGAAGACTTTAAACAAGATAGACCCCATTTTATTAAATGCGTTTCCCCTTTCAAAATTAGGCCAAACGACAGAAATCTTAGATTTTTCTTGCAGGACATTGTTGTTAACAAAGTGCACATTGGTTTTTAGGCTTCATTTTGGCAAATGATGAGGATGTTGATAGGAATGAAACTCAAGCCCCACTTCTCCGAAGCAACTTCCTCCGATCAAGCATGATAAGATTGAGCATGCATCGTTCCTATTAATTAGTTTGTCTGCATTCGGTTCTGAAAATACTGAACACCCTTGGGGGATTACTCTCCTAATCATTTACCTAATGACGAGCATTTGGTCACAGTTCTCAACAATCCTTCATATGATTTCCAATTGCTGGCATATGAGCCTAGTATAACATAAACATTTTAGCCAGTCTTCCCTAATTTTCTCAAAACATCTTGAGACACTTTGTTTTGGTACATGTAGAGCGATACTCATTGAACCTTTGGACAACACAACAAAAGACATAACTATATTCTCCCATCCATAAATTTCATCCTTTCTCTAAATTTTATGATTTGAATCGACACTTCCAAGTTGAAGTTTTAAGGTAACCATTAGGGATCTACTCATACCGATATAAAAATAATTAAGTTACATCTTTTGATATTTTTTGATATAATTTATATTTTGGTAATCCAACCATTTGATTTTATGTTCTATTCATGTAACAATAATTTTCAAACATTATATATATTGAAAAAAATAATGTTCTCGATTGATATGATATAAAAATTGAATTGATTTGAAACTTTACATTAATAATAAGTATGAATAAGTTGTTAAATACAACAATTAGTTTGTTAAAATATTAATTGTACATGAAGTTATAGAATATGTAAATTAGTTTTATAGAGATTTAATTTTATCCCTCCTCTTGTACATACATATATAATTCTATATATATATACTAAAAAATGATATAATTGACATAATTAACACATTTGACATATACCTAAACAAAATTATTAATATAATTTAGAATGTGTGATACAATTAATTATTCTAGAGCAAATTTATAAATATTTCCTGATATTAAATCGAAATTAGGCTCTTTGCTTTTCAACTAAAAGAATTCTATAAGAATGTTGAAAGCTGACGACAAGGAGGGGATGCCATAAAATTGTGGCAGGAATGGATGCCAAAAGGTTGTGTGAGGATGAACACTTGCATTACTTCTCAAATCCATCAACATTTCTGCTAACCTCTAGGTAATTATAGAATGAGGAAATTTGCATTTACAGGTACTTTGCATGTCCATAATTCAGAAAACTTGAAGATTCCGCAAATAGAAAAACCACCTAAGTGTTCTTTGATTTCTATATATTTAATTTTTGGACAAGAAATTAGATAGGCTCGTCCTCGATATTGGCAAATTATTAACGTGGCAATTGACAAAAGGGTTTTTTTTTTTGATTTTTTGGTTTTTAGCGTGACAAATCTGTTTGGAGATTTCGATATCAAATCATTGAGTACTTTCCTTTCTAGAGAAGAAAAATTAATTATTGAGTATTGATGGAAAAAACTCAAAATTATATGATCATTTGGTGTCTACCCTTCAATACATTTCCAACAAGTAATTAAAATCTAAATGTTGCATATCTAATTTGTTAGTTATTCATTTGGTTGTTTTCTATTTCTGAATAATTATTTATTGTGGTGTTATTTGTGGGCTTGGATGTGGGAATTTTATTGGCTAACTTAAAAGTTTGTAAGCCTCCTAAAATACATGACATTCGTGATGTCGACATCACTAGTTACAAATTACAAACGATTATGCAGTGGTAACCAGTAGGCGCGGCGTTGAGTGGGAAAACAAGGTGTAGTGTGAGGAGAGAATGGCTATTCATGGCAGGAATGGACCAAGAGAGGTAGGCAGCTACCCAGACCCTTTCATCCTCCCAATGATGCAAGACAGACGGGCTCCAGATCATTAAATAATTGATACCCTTTTTATATGTGAAAATTATATTTCTCCATCATAATAATGGGAGCTATTCCTCCACAAAAATAAATAAATAAATAATTTAAACAAAGAAAAAAACAATAATTCAAACATTTTTTTTGGAAGATTGACCTTTGGCCGTTCACAGTCATGTGATCCGTCACATTTTGGGCTTCATAAAAGGAGGCTCAATGATTGCAAGCTTGTTAACGGTGGAAAAAAAACCCCTCTTATGTTTCTCAATATGTTATTTCTTTTACTACAATTATAAATAATTTTAAATTTTAATTAAAATTAATTTTATTTTTTTAATGATATTACAAATACGTTCTGTTTCACATCATTTTGATACATTTAGAATTAATTTGTGTGAATATCTTTAACCAAGTTAATATGTAATTTTTTTAAATCATAGCAATTAATTATATTCCATTAAAAAAGTAATAGGGTTTTTTTATTAATTCCGTAAAACTAGATCAATTAGAAAAGGACAATATAGGTTAAAAAAAGTAGAACAAACAGTGGGCATAGGCAATCAATTACTTGCATTACAAATGAGCAAACAACTGTTTGTAGGCCACTGTACACGAAATCAACGCGGACATTGAACCGCCTTACTACAGTTTACCTTTCTTTGGAGCAAAGGAAACAGCCAGACAACAGCTCCCCATTAAATTTAGTCTGTAAAATAAGCAAGCTACTACTGAAAGGACCCCAAGACCCTTTTAATATGTAATTCCTTTCCCATTAAAGGGTGTTGTGGCCAAATCAAAGCAGAACCCCAAATGCCCAGTTGTCCTGCATGATATTTTGGGAGAAATTGGCATCATTGAGGGACACGAGTCATCATCTTAATTTATTGTATTAAAATTCTAAGCACAACTTGTTCCACAATAATCAATTATTCTCTCTTATTCCCCCCCAACGTATCATTTACCCTCCTATAAATGCAACCCCAATGTCTCATGTTTTTCCACGCCCAAACCTCTGGCCCATTTCTCTCCTTCAAAACTCTTTCAAGCTCTCCCAATCTCCTCTTGCTTTTGCATAACTAGTTGACAAGAAAAAAATGGGTGCTTTGGACTCTCTTTCTGACTACATTTCTGATTTAATTACTGTTCATACCAAAAGGAAGAAGCGAAAAGTAATGCAGGTGCTCGTCAACTCCAACCTTCTCTTTTAGCCTTTTCTCGCCTTTTGGTTGCATTAATATTCTGTGTTTGCTCAACTGGCAACTGCTTCCTTTTACTCTTTTGATTTGCTAGTGATGATCTTTTCTCAGTGGCTCCCTTAATTTGATGTTAAAAACCGAGTTTCGTGTTCTTTGTTTTTTTGCAGACTGTTGAGATCAAGGTTAAAATGGACTGTGATGGCTGTGAAAGGAGAGTCAAAAACGCTGTGTCCTCCATGAAAGGTTCAATACAGTGCTCTCTCCTTCTCCCAATCTTCAGTCTTTCTTTACTTTTTGTTTAAATTTTTGGTGTTAATCATGCATGTCCTGATTCATGGTGGAAGGAAGGAAGGCCCTTAAGCCAACGAGGCTAAAAGGGGTCTTGCCTTCTAAAAAGAATTAACCAAAGCCTGTTAGCTGTAGTAATCCGTCATAGCTTATTGAATCATGACAGTTCATGAGAACAAGTTAATAACAAGTTTCATTGCAGCCCTTGGCACTTCTTATCTTTGACTATCACTTTATACACCTTATTTTCCGGACCTAGTTTTCATGGCCATACCGTATCAGAATTCAGCACAGACAACAAAGAGCATTTAATTTCTCTTCCAAAAGGAAGACAGGGAAAGAAAAAAACAAAACAAGTCAAAAGAAAGGGAGAATCGCTAGAGCTTCCTCGTATTAAAAACCGGAAGAAACAGAAGCTATATTTATGCTTGTTTCTCTCCGTACTGCAAAGTCTTCAAAGCTAAAACCATAAATTTTCTGCAGAGAACCAGGGATTGCTATTTCCAGTTCCCTTATTTTGTTTTTTCTTTCACTTGCATGGTAAATACACAGTTTATTCTGCTTCGGCGTGGCAAGGGAAACGTAGTAAATA